TAATGAATTAATCAAACGATTTAACACAAAAAATATATTTTATAGGACATCAGGTGATTTTGATAGAAATTGAAGAGCAAGTTCTGTCATGTTCATTCAAGCATGTTATGTTCAAGTTTATCAATATTATAAATTTTAATGAATATGTATAATTATTATTTTTGAAATTTCATCCATTTCAATGTTCAAAAATGTATATAGTTTCCTTTTGTTTAAACTCAAATGTTTTGAAATAAATATTCTTTTTAAGAAAAAATTCTTTATAAAAAATTGTTTTTTAACGCTGAAAATTATTTTCAAGCTAATTTCTTTACATATCTTGATGTTTTTGTTATTAAAAATGTCAACAATTAACTTTTTTTAGCAATTTTATATCAATATTTTACTAAAAACATGATTATTAAACTGAATTCCTATCGCTGCACAAAGTAGCCCTACTTGGGGACTACTTTGTGCAAGGTATGTTTTGACTTATTATTTGTAAATATTACATACAAATAATGCCAATATTGATCAAATTCACTCGTCTGAGTCCAGTTATGAATACAATATCGATAAATTTTATTAAAGTTTGAATTTACATAGTTTTTTTACATGTCAAAGTTCAAAAACTGCGAAATCCTGCACAAAGTAGCCCCACATGACGGTACAACAAAATTGTATTATCTATGCAACTTTAAATAACTATTTATATGTAACAAGTAGTAGGTTAGAATATTCATGATTTTAGTGCAGGTATATGAATAATAAACTTCATATTAAACTTCAAAATAAACTGTAGCAGTTTCATTCTAAACTGAGAAGTATCAATGCGTAAATAATTAGTTTCATTGTAAAATAGTATACTGTAGTATTACTACTGATATAATAGTAGTATGCATAGTAGTAGTTTTAATGGTATAGTACACGTATATGTGGATGTTTTTTCTCCTCCTATTTAACTTCATTAACTACAAATACTTCTATAAAAAATAACGATTTTATAATTCTTAGATTTTTTTTCTCTTTCCTCATTATATAACATGCTAAGTTAAAAACAATAGATTGCTAAACACCAACTATACTTTTCAAAGAAAGAGTTTCAACATTTATATTTAATTTTTAACGATTTTAAAATATTTCGTCATAATTAATTTTAATGACAACAAACATGCAGATAAAAAACTGTGATCCTGAGTTTTCATTTGTCCCTGTCATATGCATTAAGATGTGAAAATTAACTTAATTTGCGTATTTAATTCGAGGTGTTCCTCTTCAATTGTGTTATCAAGACGTTTTCCTCTAAAAAATGAGGAATAGGTTCATTTTTTTATTGTTTGTAAACTACTAACATTCTTTTATAAAATAGTTTCACTAACGAAATAAATATTCCAACCGAGGAAACAGTTGAACTTTTAATAATGGCTGAAAATACTTAAATAAATATTAACTATTTTTCTAAAACGAAACTGAAACAAAAGGAGAATCAAATTTCCCTTTCATCAAACTAGATTTAGTCATGTAATAAAAATTAAGAGCTTTTATTTTTTTCTTTTCTTTCGAAAGGGCTCAGGTCTCTCGTTGAATATTTAAATATCCGAAAATATTATAGAAGTAACAACAGTTGGGTACCTGCAATTCTAAAAGAAAAAGTCCGCTGAAATAGCATGGTTGTCTATGGCGTATTAACGCTACAGCTACCAGGCTTAGTTTATTATCAGGCTGAACATGTTTTTGAGTTAGGTTTAATTGGATACCTGCAACCGACGTCACTCGTTAGTGTCAAACCTGATTGGCTGTTACATCATGTAAAAATAATTGCCATCACTTACTCACGTGTGACATCACTTGCAAGTATCTAATTAATATACAAATAATAATAAGAAGAAAATCTTCAAGTTTTTTTATTTTATTTTTTATTAAAAATGTTTGTGGAGTGATCCTTTTGTTCTACGACAAACATCAAATATACAATCAAGCTCTCACCACACGTAATTTAGTTTCGCACTATCAGTAGTTTCCACAGATTTTCCAATATGTTCGTGTTTAGTGTTTCTGACATCATTGGTTCAGTGTATTGGGCGTGAGGGTGGCATTTATTTATACCCTTATTCACGAAACCACATATATCCTCGGACCTCTCTATAAACCATTGATTCCAGAAAAACGTGTACGCGAATTCATTGTGCTCCTCAACAAAAGCTAAGAAAAATCTTGCAAAGTAAATCCGTAAAATGTCTCGTATTAGGGAATAAGGGAAATCTTAGTAATTGTGATTGGTTTATTAAACAGGTCGCGCGATTCCCACAAAGAGCAAAGGGGAAAATGTCTTACTTTTAATTAATGCATACTTGAACCAAAAATAGATTAAAGGACAGGATGTGAATTTAAAAGTGCAAGAAAGCGTTTCGTTTTGAATAATAAATTAAGAAAAGGATTTACAGAAAAGGAATAACATAAAAAGATTAATTGAAGCTTTTTATGTTATATATACAGTGGTGGCCAAAAGTGTGGACACTTTTTGAAAGTTTCATGTTTTTCGACTTTGTGTGCTTGTAGAATATATTAATTTTCACTTAAATACAAAAGTTTATGTATCAAATTGAAGGTAATTTAATATGAAATTTAATAACGAAAACAGAATTAAAATATCTGTATTACAAAAAAAGTTATGCCTATTTTAGCAGAACAAACAAACATAAATCGGTTTGAATAAAGACGTGCTTTGTAATACAAGCGTACTAGCCAATCACAAACACTGTTCTTAGGACCAATCAAATGTCTGTAACTATAGTTTAGGTTATTTGGATGGCAAAAGAGTTATTGTTGTGGAAATATTTTGCGGAATGATGCATACTAGTACAATTAAATAGAGTATTGCTGTTTTTTAATTTTAAAGTCCTTTCTTTTAATTAAACTAATTTTAAACAATGTCATCAACAAGAAGAACTAATTGGACATCTACAAAAAGAAGCCGAATTGTCATATTGAGAGAAAATGGCCTCTCTTATGCTGAAATTGCAAGACAAGTTAGTGGTTCAGTGACTTGTTCTGGTGTACGAAAGTTCTGTTTACGTTATGAAAAAACGAAATCAGTGGAAAATGAAGCCAAATCAGGCCGAAAAAAATGCACAAGTGCTACCGCCGATAGAAAAATTAAACGGCTATGCCTTCAAGATAGAAAAACTTCATCAGATGCCATTAGATGTGAAATGAATGCAGCGGGTATTGCAGTAAGTTCAAGAACAATAAGAAGAAGGTTATCAGGATTTGGACTACAAGCTAGAATTCCAAGGAAAAAACCATATTTAAATCAAAAGCAACGCGAAAAACGAGTTAAGTGGGCAAAAGAACACATTAAATGGTCAGAAAATCAATGGAAGCAAGTAATCTGGAGCGATGAGAGTAAAATATCGCTCTTTGGTAGTGATGGTAGAAAATACGTGAGACGTAGAGTAGGTGAAGCACTTCATCCTGATTGCATTGAAGCAACTACAAAAAACCCAACAAATGTTATGATTTGGGAATGTATGTCTTGGCATCCTGAATGCCAAAAAATACATCGAAACTGTCCTGAAACCAAAATTGATACCTTCCATCCGGGATCTCTTCCCCAACAACGCACCATTTATTTTTCTGCAGGATTCAGCTCCATGCCACACAGCAAAAGTACACAAAGCATGGTTTCAAAATAAAGGTATAGATATATTACCATGGCCAAGAAACAGTCCTGATCTCAATCCAATTGAAAATTTGTGGCGACGTTTGAAAATTCTTGCTCGAAAAAAACGTCTATCCAATAAAAGACAACTTATTGAAGCTATAATTGATTCTTGGCACCATGTGATTACGAAAGATGAACTTCAAACAGTCGTTCACTCGATGAAAAGGCACTGTGAGGCTGTCTTAAAAAATAAGGGTTATCCTACTAAGTATTGATTGTGTAAGTATCACTTTAAAAAAATGCAAATCTAAAAGATAGATCTTACTATTAGTTGCATAATTTTTTTCGTAATACAGATATTGTAATTCTGTATTCATTATTATATTCTACATTAAATTAACTTCAATTTGATATATAAACTTTTGTATTTAAGTGAAAATTAATATATTCTACAAGCACACAAAGTTGAAAAACATGAAACTTTCAAAAAGTGTCCACACTTTTAGCCACCACTGTAGATAAAGAAGAAAGAAAAAAAAAGAAGAGAAAGGTAAAAAAAAAAGCTTAAAGGTAAAATTTCAATGAGAAAAACAGTATAGTCAATGCTACTAGAATATGGCTTGTATTTCTGGCTCTATGATAACACCAAAAAAGCTCGTTAATTTTTTACCGAAGTGCTTTGGTAATGATTTTGGTAAAATTCACAATAAATATGGTTTTATACTCTGAAATAAAATTTGGTAAATGTGGTAAATTTACTATGATACCTTAGCATGGCGTAAAAACCATTTATTCGGTTAAATTTACTTTATAGTTTCGTATTTTTTATTAAATGTGTGGTAATGAGAACTATAATTTCGAACAGTAGTATTTCTCCAGTAAACCATTGCCATACGAACGGAAAAATAACCAAACCGGATAGTTATATTCTGGTTTCATTAAGCAAAATTATGTTTATTTTATTTATTTTTTACCAGAAATGTCATTACAATACAGTACGGTAATTTTTCCAGACTTTTGTTTCCTTTATGTATACATGTTTTTAAAACATAATTTCTATTATTTAATATTTTATTTTAACATTTTATTGCATTTTATATACATCACCAATTGATTCTATCGAAATACAAGACATAAAAATCGTATGCATGTCAGTTAAATTGAAAACTAAATGGCTATCTTTTAACTGAAAGAAATACAATGAGGCTTAACTTCCTATCAATAAAAACTATGCAATCCTTCGCTTCCATTTTGAAGGTCGACACGTGACATACTATTAAACCCTTTTCCTACAATTCCAGATGTAAGTATTCCTCCATAAAAACATTTAATAAAAGGAATTGTAATACAGCGAAAAAATGAAAACGACGAAAATTTTCTTCGATTGGAAGGTTCAAGAGGTAGAGAGGGAAAATTAAGAACCTAACCTTGGAAGATGGTTGTTAAAATGAGGGGGTGAAAGTCGGAGAGGGGGTAGGACTGGTTCTCCAACCAAGTGAAGCCTTTATAAGAAGAAAGCCATAATTTCCGATGAAGATTTTCTGAGATATCAACCGGCCGGAATCACATTTGCACCATCCCTGTCGGCCGAGTCGTTGCACCCCCTCAAAGGTGAGTGTCTTGAAAAATTTTATTTTATGTATTCGAATCGAACTTTTGGAAGCATTTTTTATGTGTTTACTTTTTATTTGATTTAGAGTTATTATGAATATTTTGAATGAATATTAAAAATTTGTATTTTTCGAGATCTTAAAAAATTAGTGTAGCATTTATGCAAAAGTTAATTAGCATTTTAAAGGAACATTTATGTAAATTATTCTAATGCAGGCAATTGATGACAATGGCATTTTTTGACTTTTTTTTTCTTTCGGGGTATTTTTTGAGTTTTATTCTTTTCTGGACATTTTTCGAACGTTTGAAATTTTGGGCATTCCAAGGATTTCCTTTTTTTTTTTTTTTTTTTTTTTTTTTTTTTTTTTTTTTNTTTCTTATTTCTGTCCTTTATTTGGTATAGTTAAAATTTTTTGCGTTTTTAAATTTTCCTTCTTTTCTTTTTTTGGGAGAAAATCTATTGAAACATTTTCCATTTTCTTTTCTTTTTAGAACTTTTGCTTTCGTGTTGGGACATTTTTGTTCATGAGTTTTTTTTTTTTTTTCATAAGTATACATTTTTTTTACGTACCAAATCTACCATTTTTGCACTTTTGGATTTTTATTCTTTTCTGGATTTTTATTCTTCTTTTGAAATTTCATGGCTTTGTTTTCATATTAACGTTTTCGTCTTTACCGTCCGTTAAAATGTCCGTTTAGTACATTATAACTATTATTACTTGTTTTTTTTTTAATTTCCTAGAAAATCTATTATTTTTTACATTTTTTTTCTTCTGGGGTTATTTTTTAAAATGTTAGTATTTTCCTTTCATTTTTGGTCTTTAGTTTTTGGTATTGTGCCAGTTTTCTTTCTCAGTTAAGAATTCTTTAAATTCTTTTCATAGTCTCATTTAGGCATTTGAGTTTTCTTTCTGAGCGCGTTTTCTTTCTGAGTTTCGAGTTCTGAGCGCGTGTGCTTTTTTTTTTTTTTTTTTTTTTTTTTTTTTTTTTTTTTTTTTTTTTTTTTTAATTTCTTTGTTTTTATGCTGTAAATCTCAATATTTCTAGAAACTGAAGCTTTTTCCCGTGTATTACTTTTGTCCCGTTTAAAGTTTATTTAAAAATTTAACAAAAATAGCTCTTCAATCCCTCCCAATAAACGTTTCTCCATGGCCAGGGTAGCCTGGTTGGCAGGGCGTATAGTTTTAAAATGCTCAATTCGAAAACAAATTTCATAAAAATGGTCAATAAAATTTAAATAATTTATAAATAAATAATAAAATCATAAAAATAAATATTTCTATCGTATTAAAAATAATAAAAATAATTTAACACTATTTGCTAATGATTATAATTTATTTAATTCAAAGTTAGCACATCATTTTATTCAATAACTATCTGAATACCCGTTCTTCGCACGAGGTGATTAAAAAATAAGTAAAGAATCAATAAATCAGGGCTGAAAAACACTACGAAATCCAGCTTAAAACTGAAAAGCATATCCCAACACAATTAAAGAGCTTGATTGAAGAACCAGGTAAGTGAAATTTTTAGGGGAAATTATTTTTATATACCAGTTTGGTAATAAAACGGAGTTCGGATACAACTTTTTCGCTCTGAAAATGGCACTTACCTGGTTCTTCCACTAAGTTTCTCATTTAATAGAACTAAAATAATTTCACTTTTTTATTTAATATTATTTGTTGCTTTATTCAGTGGCTTACGTAATTGAAGTAAGAAAAACTAATTTTTCGTAGTTCATCCCAAAAATAAATAAATAAAGATAAAATGTATTTTGCATCACTTAGCATTATGCTATTGCTCGCGCGATAGCCAAAATTTACCACTATCACGCAATTTTCTCCGGTACATATCCCTTTCGGGAGGTCATAAAATATTTATTACTTAAGTATTGGTATTAAAAATGCTTAATATCGGTGTTTTAATAATCCCTAAATATATCAATATAATAATTTATACCTATCTATAATTTATACCTATTTGTATATTTTGTACTTATTGCATAACCCTGCAACATTTGAGTTTTGTGAAAAATACATTTGTCAATCAACTAAAACATAATTTTTTTTTCAAAAAATACGTATAGTTCTTATTAGAACTTGATAAGGATTTTGTANCCTAAATATATCAATATAATAATTTATACCTACCTATAATTTATACCTATTTGTATATTTTGTACTTATTGCATAACCCTGCAACATTTAAGTTTTGTGAAAAATACATTTGTCAGTCAACTAAAACATAATTTGTTTTTCAAAAAATATGTATAGTTCTTATTAGAACTTGATAAGGATTTTGGAGCAAGATCATTTCAATATCTGACACGTAATTTACTATTTAAAATATTCATAAGTGGTGGTGGAAAAAATTTTCTTTTAATTCCAACTCATTAAAATATTAATACACTATCTTTTGTACCACTCAAACATTATTTCTGAAACTACGGAAAACCCGTTGTAGAATTCTTATCAAAACTGCACCAATTACTATAATACCAGTAGTACATATTACAGTCAGTAGTACGCAATAATTAAGCGTCATCCGTGAGTGGCAATTTTCAACTATTTTCCTAAACATATTTCTTATTAACCTTTTCTCCTTTAACTTTGCCTTTTTTTCAGCACAATGCTTATTTTTCTTTTAATTAATACATATTATCAATAATAATAAAGCATTAATTTCAATAATAATATGGTAATTTTTTACAGCTCCCTAAAATAAATAAGTATCTTTTCTCCATTAGTTTTGTTTTTTAGTACATAAGTTTTTTATTTATATCAATCAACGTATTATCAATATTAATTACATTGTCGTCAATTATAGTATGACGATTTCTTATGGTTCTTCTAGAGAAATAAATATCTTTACTTCATTACTTTTGCTTTTTAGTGCATAGTTTATTTCTTTAATTTCAATATACATTTATTACCAAAATTGATTGAGCATCATTGGTGCCGTAGACCATGCGTGCTACCACTCAATGATGTTCATTGAATTTATCTAGAGCTCCTGAATTAGAGATAGAGGAAACTTAAATTTAACTGACATAGCGAATATGAAATAATTAAATATTTAAATACGTGCAATAAACTATTTTTTGATCAATAAGCTAGAAATTATCACTGATGTTATCTTTAAATTGTGTTAAAAATTTAATCGTTTATAGTTAAAATTAAAATTTAAAGCAATGGGCTAACGTTTAACCAATCAGAAAGTTCCATTTCGCTTTTCCCTTATCCCACTCGAACGGCTCGTTGTAGAATGTCCTAAAGTCGACAGTATATATAGTCCTCGTATTTTAAATATACNTATATATATTCATCATATAATATTTAGATGATCTTCAATTTCTATTATGAAAAATGTTCATTCAATATTTATATCATTGTTAATTTTTATTATGAAGCAGTTTCATGTAATATTTATATGATAGTTCATTTTTATTATGAAGCACATTCATATTATATACAATTGAAAATATATTTTACTTTATCAATATTAAAGGGTAGCACAACTTATTTGTATAACAAAATAAAGATTTTTCAAATACTTAATTTTCTCAGTAACTTTCGAATACATGATCTGATTCTCACCTCCTAATTATTAATTACTTTCTGTAACAGTCTCTTTGCCATCGGGCTAACCATGGCAAGTTCTGCGTGATTTTGCCATATCATGGATTCGCAATATATCAAAATATATTTTTATTCTACAAACAAAACTCTACATAAAATGCCTGACATGTTCCAGACATATTTTTACTTCCTAAAAACATTCACATAACTTTTACATCGATGCTTCTGAGACTTAGTTTTAGAAACACATTCTGGCTACAAGTAAGCACCGTCACATGAATACAGCAGTTGATGATGATAAAACTAGACTATCGCACCAATATTTTGCACACAAATAGATGCTAAAAAATTATTACAAAACAAAGAATAGTCACATTACTTTACGCACAGAGGCCACAAAATTGTTACAAAATGAGGAATGATCGGATTAAGTTTTTATTTCAATTTCAATATATTATGCTTGAATAGATGTTGCAAAATTATTACAGAAGAATTGTCAAATTAAGTTATTATAAATGCTTTAGAATTTCGAGCACGGTTAGATGCTACAAAAGTGTGACAAAAGTTTCTTAGTTTCAGAATACACTTTGAAGAATTTCTTTGCCATAAGATTATTCGTGTGAGTGTGAGATATATAACCAGAAGACCAAAAACTGAACCACCAAAATTTTTTTGAAAGCATAAATTATTCTAATAAATTATTTAAAAAATATTTTTCTGAATATAACAATGAATCGAAATCAAAATAATAAATTAGTTAGGAGAAACTTTTTAATCGAATTGCTGACTCTGCTATGATGGAGAAAAAGCTTCCATTAATATATTTATTGATAAGAGAATTAAGTGAAATATTATTATTATTAAAGGATAGAAAATTATAAGAAAATTAAAATGCGTAATGATAATTCGAAGTTATAAGACAGTTCGCCAAAAAATATTGGAAATCCATGATTTGGCTGGATAGCCATTAATTATTGTCAAGAATATAATTTTCATTTAATATAAGCTTTATAAATTTAAATTATATTATCTGTACACTGCGAAAAATTCCGGATAAAACCGTGGTAAAAAAAAATATTGGTACCCTGAATGTATTATCCGTAAAATCCATTTTATCGAAAAATATATTTTTACCGTAAAATTCATTTTCACCGTAAAATTCATTTTTACCATGAAATTCACTTTTACCGTAAAATTTCATACCATAATTTTTACATTAAGATTTATTTAGAAGTGATTTTATGATAAATATTACTGTAAAAATTACGGTATGTNTATTTTTACCGCAAAATCCATTTTTACCGTAAAATTCATTTTCACCGTAAAATTCATTTTTACCGTGAAATTCACTTTTACCGTAAAATTTCATACCATAATTTTTACATTAAGATTTATTTAGAAGTGATTTTATGATAAATATTACTGTAAAAATTACGGTATGTCAAATTTTTTGTTCTTTAAATATCACAAATCCGGTACGTGGCAAAATATTTTTCCGTTATCCCGGTATTTGCGTTAGTAGCTATATATAATATTTATTTTAATAATGATAAATTATTTAATATTATCCTTCATTGATAACAAAAAGCAAACTAATAAATGAAATAAAATTTCAGAAGATATATTTTTAATTTTTCAGAGAACAAAAATGAATAGTCTGGTGTCTGTACTACTTTTTCTAACAATACTGCAATATAGTTACTGCGGTAAGTAAAGTTTTTCTGTAATTATAATATTAAGTTATATCATGTGCAACGGGGAAAATATATCTCGTTCGTCGATTTCAAATTCGTTCATTAAAATTTTATCTCATTTATATAACAGTTGTTTTTATATGATTTTTCGATTATTTCCTAGTTAACTGCTTACAAATGCTTACGGCCATCAATAATCATCGTATGCTGTGGTATTATAAGTGATAGTGGTGATTATTATGACTGTTAGTTATGATTTTTATAAAGATAAATGGTAACTGTCGTATTTGTAATGAGTGATAATTATAGTTTTTTTTTTGTTGTTTTGAACAATGATGATTACTGATATGAGTTGTGATGATGTCGAATAATGATAACTATTATGCGTGATGATAATAATTTTTATGAAATGCAGTGATAAACATAATGACTGATAATATTAATTTTATGAGGAATTTTGATATCTGTTATGAGTGATAATCATTATATGCATTTAGCTGAAGTGATAATTGTTATGAGGGTTAATGATAATTCTTATAAATAATAATGGTGATTGAAGCGATTCAAGTGATATTTTGTACTATTGATAATGATAATTGTTATGTTACGAGGCGTACTTCTGATTGTTATGAGGGTTAATAATAATTCTAGTAAATAACAATGGTGATTGAAATTATTCACATGATATTTTCTACAAGTGATAATGGTAAAAGTTATGTTATGAGGCATACTTCTGACTGTTATGAGGGTAAATAATAATACTTATAAAGAATAATGGTGCTTGAAATGAGTTAAATGCGATAATGATAATTGTTACAAGCGATAATGATAATTGTTATGTTATAAAGCGTATTAATGATTGTTATGAAGGTTCATGATAATGCTTATAAATACTAATGGTGATTGTTTTGAGTAAAATTATACTCTTTATACGTGATGAGAGTTACCGCGAAACTATTATCGAAAGTGACAAATAAATGGACGCCAGGTTGCAAAGTGGTAGCTCTTCGCGCTCCCATGCCGCAGGTCCTGGGTTCGATATTCGGAACGGGCAGCGTTGACTCAGCCTTTCATCCCTTCAGTGGGTCGATAAATGAGTACCAAGCATGCTTGGGAACTAAACACTGGGGGTTCCATGTTCGGCTGATCACCTGACCGGAACATCTGTTCCTGCACCCCAGAGCCCAAGGTCAAGAAAACTGAGATGAACACAGTAGGCCGTCTATGGGCTGTCGCGCCACTGAGTTTATTTTAGTTTAGGCAGATAAATAATTTTTAGGGTTATATGATGTTACGTGACTTTTGTGGGTTTTTTTCGGCTCTAAATCTACTACGTTGATATATCCCGAGCCATTAAGATATTATTGGAAAAAGTGTAGCTCGATCAAATAACTTACTCTTTTGCACGGAAAAAAAATTATCAAAATTCCCGCACTGTATGGCAATAATATTTCTAATATAAAACAGGTGCATAATTTTGATTAAAAGTCTCAGATCGTGTATATTTTCTATTGTTATTCTGCACTCTGTATTGTTACTGTCATTCTATGTTCTTTTGAACTTGATTAAACAAAAAAAAATTTAATCTAGAGTGGATTTACATTTATGCTTTAAAAAAAAACTTTAAATTTATGTTTCTGATACACAAAACAAATGAAACTATAAGCCCTTTACTGGAGACATAAGTATTTATTAACCCGACAAAAATACGTGACCACGATGAGGGATTTTTAATCTACTTAAATTTTAAAAACAATTCTTTTCGTGGTGCACCCTATTGTACAGGTCGAAATCGATCTTAAAACATAGTAAATAATTTGTAGGGTACTCTGGTTTGTGGAGTTCAAACACATACAAATATATACAAATATAAACTCTTAAAATAATAATAATAAAAAAACTAAATAAATAAAATAAATAAAACATTGCAGCATTTTCGATTTTATGGGAAAATCTTTTTCAGGGAATAAATATAATGAGAAGGAAAAACTACATCGCTTAAAAAAATTTTTTTAAATTAATTTTCGAATAGAGAAAAAGAAGGAACAAATTTTCTATTCACAAGGTTTTGTATTCATTGTCGAGAGATTTAAACTGTAAAAAAAAAAAAAAATTATAATAAACTAGCGAAGTCAATCACTCTGTATGTTTGAATCGTTTGAGAACGCACTTCCTTGTGTGCTATTATTCTCCGTAAAAAATGGCAACAAAAACAAAGAACAGTATAAACATCCTTAAAGAACAATAGTAAATTAAGAATAAAATTTGAACTTTCTGAGAATATTGAAGAATCGGTTTTCAGAACATACATGGGGCTTATCACCCTTGCTCGATACCATTTGCCAACCCCGAAACAGGTTTTACAGTTGCTGCCGAATCACGGCCCATAACCACCAAAGAATATATAGGCTTTATATTCTTTGTAACCACTTCGCTCGTTAACCACGAACTATATACTCTTTGTAAATAGACTAGGTGTTTCAAGGTAAGGCGATTTTCTCATGCTCCATACTTTTCCCCTCTATGTTACCATAGTTAGGGAAAATCTTGCTTCTTCGGCCTCGATAGTAAGTTTTAATAAGAAGTGGGAATAGAAAAAGCAAGAGTTACTGATACCACTGATAACGGAGGGAGGAAAAGCGCCGGAAAACCCGTAACCTTGAAGACCCCATTCTATTAAAAAACAGTATTAAAACATAATCGTCTAATAAAGAGAGGTATAAGCAAGAGGCTAAACTATATTTTCGTTGTTAATGACCATCAAAATATGCACACTATTTCATTTTGATATGAAACATATTCCACTTTATTGTTACTTTATACCAGAACCAGTATGGTCATACTGGTTCTGGTATCATTTTCACTGGTTTTTGATACTGGTTTTACGATTTTTTTTTCAATAGGGGTGATTTAATTATATAAATTAAATAAATAATGAATTGAGGTTTCACCAATTCAAACACTTGTTGTCGTTGTTTCCAATGTCACTTGCCAATACCACGTTATTAAGTTATAATAAGCCGAATTAGGAGTTAGTTTTTTAGTAAGGCGTTAATTCTTTTGTCTAGAATTTATTTTAGGGTGAAAAATTTATTAACGAACTAAAAATAAATTTTCTCTTTCTATACTTAAGAAGCTGAATTAGTTCATCAATAATTTACGCAACTTTAATGTGATTAACACTTCTTTTAAAACGGTGTAAGAGTCTTTGCCTAGTTGTGCAACCGACTCTGCTATCTCTCTCTTTTTGAAAAGTTTGACGCTGCTTGTTGAAACATTCTAACTACATTAGATACAGGGACTCTATATTTAAAGTACGTTTGACTCGGGGACTCTAATACGCCCTAGTTAGATAAATCTGTTTTTCTTCAATAGAGTTCAGATTGATAGACAATGATATCTGACACTTTTACTCCCTTCTTTCTTGCGCTTCTTCCGTTACCTTCTTTTTCTTCCTTCTTATTCTCTTCCTTTTATTTCTGAAGTATGCGTTAATCCTTAATTTCTGTCCTCAAAAATGAAACAAAATCCGTTTTTCTTTTTTTTTCTTTTCTTTTTCTCAGATAAATGTAGAAATAAACTATTATCCCTTCTTTCGCTTCCTTCTTTCTCTCTCTTCTTCCTTTCTCTTTTTTCTCTTCATTCTTCTCCTTTTCCTTCTTCTCCTCTTCCTTTTTCTCCTCTTCCTTCTACTCTTCTTCTATTTCTGAAGTATGCGTAATCCTTGATTTTTGTTCTCGAAAATGAAAAAAGTGGTATTTTTTCACAGATAAATTCAGAAAAAAACTATTCTTCCTTTTTATTTTTTTTTTATCTTTCTTCTCTCTCTCCCTTCTTTTTCTACCATCTAACTCTCCCTTCTTTCTCTCCATTCTTCTTCTCTTCTTCTATTACTGAAGTATGCGTATAAAGTTAATTTCTGTTCTCAAAAATAAAGAATAAAAAAATAAAATAAAAATCAGTATTTTTCAGAGATAAATTCAGAAATGGACTATTCTTTCTTCTTTTCTCTTCCTTCTTCTTCTCCTCTTCTATTTCTGAAGTATGTGTAAATCCTAATTTTTGTTCTCGAAAATTAAAAATAAAATATCAGTATTTTATCAAAGATAAATTCTGAAACAAACTAATGACTTACCTGCATGGATTATTAGCAGTTGGAAAAGTAAATCACGGATAAGGAGTGTTTTTTGATTCATTTCTGTATAGTAAGAATGACGTATTACAGGCGTGCAATAAGAAATTAATTGACAAACGTGACACAATTTCACCAAAAAATCGGAGCAGCAGATGTTTTTTTAATGGTTCTTCTTAATTATGTAACTAAACAACAGGTGGGAAAATACAAATATTGTTCTTTTGTGAACACTAAAAAAGATGAAATATCTTCCATCATCATTATAATAAGAAAAAGCGCGGTGAGGAATATAGAATTGTATATTGCAACTCCAATTGCAAATGCTGCAAACTATCCTTTAGACAAAACACAAGAAAAGGGACAGATAAAACAAACAGTGTCACAAAGTGTGTTAACTGAAATGTTCTTCAAAAGCTAAAGTCCAGAAAGCTAAATTGAGAGTATGTTCCAATTTTTCTCGAAAGAAGACTAATACTTTATTTTCAAATTATACCTTTACGATGGAGAAAAACTTGAAGAAACTTCACTAACAAAACTTAAACATAATATGTGAAAACATAAAGTGATTAATTCAAAAGAATGGCGTATCTTTCAGTGCAAACTCAGCGACCAAGTTTTGTAGTGCTAGAGAACAATGTAGATGTGGAAATTTACTTGAATTTATCGAATTTTATCAAGTAACGTGTTTAATGTCTAGTAGCTTTTAAACAATTTATATCAAACTGCAAATAAAAGCACGAAAAAATTATTTTATTATTTTTGTAAAATAACTTTTTAGCATTAGTTGAATTTTATTTTCTGTTGTTAAACAAAGATATTACTATAGTGCTGCCTTAGCTGACGTCACTTCTTTTATTTGACAACTGGCAATCCATCA